GCTCCAGACTGTCCCTGGCAGCTCTGAGCTATCCTGGCAGCACCGATAGCTGTGAGCCCAGCCCTGGCTTGCTGCTCGTGGCCTGGTCACAGCCTCCTGTCAGGCTCTCTGTTCTCATTCATCCCTGTTATGTAGCTAGATAAGACACGGGGAGGTCTGGATCTCTTCTCATTGTGTTTGGCATGGCAGAATTTTGTCAGTTCATCATCAAATAACAAATCTGCTCTGTTTTCCAGGAGCCCATCCTGAATATTCATGATCTCACTCAGATCCATTCGGACATGAACCTCCCAGTGCCTGACCCAATTCTTCTCACCAACAGCCACGATGGACTGGATGGGGTAAAGTTACTCTGCTGGCTGTGGTCCTGACCTTTGTTAATTAAAGCTGCATGGCTTGCTTTGTGCTGGGCTAGCATGTTCTTACTGAAAAGCAGCCCTTGGCCCTCTCCAAGGCTTTCAGGGATTGGTGGCTCAATCCTGGGGAGTCTGCTGGAAGTGACACTGTGCTCTGCAGTTCTCCTTTGGCACTAAAGGATGCATAGAAAGCAGGAGGTGGCAGAGGCTCTAAAGCTTTTCCTGTTTTCTTTGCAGCATTCACTGTTGTAGCTTACAACCAGTGTGCAAATAAAATGTTTTGTGTGTTTTAGCCAAATATGAAAAAGAGGAAGCTGGAAGACCGTGAGGAGACCTTTCAGGGTAAGAGTCCTCGAGCCCCTGTGTGGCTGCGTGTCCCCTGAACCACCTTAGCCTGTCTCAGGGGTGTGAATCACGTGAGCCGCACCTGCCCTGCCCTGACAGCAGCTGTTGCTCGTGCAGTTCTGTCTCTGCCGCCTCCCAGAGCCTGACCTAGGGATGTCCTGCTGTGGAGGAGTCAGGTGCCAGCTCTAAGAAGCATCATTAGGACTTCTCTGATAGGCATAAGTAGTGCTTGCTCGAGCTTGGCCTGCTGACAGAGGCAGCTGGTCTCTTGGTGGCTCTGTGCTGTTCCTCTCCTCATCTGGAGGAAGGTTCCAGGCATTGGATTAAGCTGAGGCAGAAACTGCTGCTCACACACGTGCACCAGGAAGACCCTTTCTGTCAAGCTCATCTCTGCTCCATGCTTTTTCCTTTCCCTGTGGCAACTGCTGTTACCCCAGTCCCATCAACCCTTGCCCTCAGGTGGCCATGGCGTGGCTCAAGCCCTTGCTGGCCTCTGCAGGAGTTGAGGCTTAGGTGACCCAGCCTGACGTGGCTATTCCTGCCAGGCACTGACCTTAGAGGTTTGTCTTTGCTATAGGTACCAAAGTGTTTGTGATGCCCAATGGGATGTTGAAGAGCAACCAGCAGCTGGTGGACATCATTGAGAAAGTGAAGCCAGAAATCAGGCTACTCATTGAGAAGTGCAATACGGTGGGTGTGCACCTGGGGCGAGGGGAGGCAGTGTGCCGGCTTTGCTTCTGGAGAGGCAAAGCTGCTTGGAGCAGGAAGGAGAAGGGCCCTCTGTGCTGCAGGTGGGAAGGCAGGGCTCTGCCCTGTCTGACAGGCAGGGAGGTAGGTGAAGCCCTTGGGTGGCTCTGTGGTTCACCTGAAAGAGGAAAGTGTCTGTATCAGGCCTCCAGGAGGCTTTGTTTGGCCCTCCCTTTGCACACACACAGACCTCTGCTGAGAGCTCCTGTAACAGGGTTAGGAGAGCTTCCCATGGAAGGTGATGTGGCATCCGAGCCATGTGGGAAGTGATCTCAAAAGCGCTGCAGGTGCATGAGGGACCTGCAGCAGTTTATCATGAGCTGTGTGGCAGAGGCAGGGTCCTGGGGGGCATTTGGCAGCACTTCTGAGGGAGGTATTTGTGGAGATGTTGGCATTGTTCAGTGTTTTGATTTTTCTACCACAGGTCAAAATGTGGGTGCAGCTTCTCATCCCCAGGATAGAGGATGGCAACAACTTTGGTGTTTCTATTCAGGTAAGGCACCGCTGTGCTCCAGGGATGTGGATCTCTGGGGTTCTTCTAATCCTTCAGTTCATGATGTCCAGCAGCTGCAGCCATGGGGTTGGTTTAGGTTTTAAAATCCAAACCTGAGCTTGACGTGGCACTGCTGTGATATGTTGCTTTCTGAGCCCTGAAGGCCAGCTGCAGCTTCCTGGAGCTAATGTCTCCCTTGTCTTCCCTGCAGGAGGAAACAGTTGCTGAGCTTCGAACTGTGGAGAGTGAGGCAGCGTCCTACCTGGACCAGATTTCTAGGTAGGCATGCAAGAACAGATTTCTTTTTCAGGATCCTTTTGGAAAAGGAATGCTTGGGAAAGGTCTCCCAGCTGTTCTAGGGCGGCTTGGGCCTAAAAAAAATTCTGCTGCTGTTTATCTGACCTTCAGTCTCTTCCTTTCCTTACCAGATACTATATCACAAGAGCAAAGTTGGTTTCCAAAATAGCCAAGTACCCTCATGTGGTAAGTCACTGGGGACGTGGAGATTTACACATTTATGCTGCTGCTGCTTGGGACTCTTGAGTTGTTGCATCGATGTCCTGTCTGAGCTGGGGGTCCTGGGAGAAGAGGAGGGATCACACAGGGGTGGAGGGTAGCGAGCTGGGGTGAGGGCTCCTTTGGCCCAGCTGAGCTCAGGGCACTCAGCGCGTCTGCTCTCGCAGGAGGACTATCGCCGCACCGTGACAGAGATTGATGAGAAGGAGTACATTAGTCTGCGCCTGATCATTTCAGAGCTGAGGAATCAGTATGTAAGTGAACACACAGAGCCCTTGTGACCCTGCTGCTGCTGCTTTCTCCTTTCCCTCTGGGCACACATGCTCCTGCCTGTTCGTGGCTCCAGCAAGACAAGCCGACTGTTGCTTCTTCACCATGTCCTAGAGATGCAGGTGCTTCCAACAGTGTTAACAGGGCTCTAGCACAAAAATATTCCTTCTCCCTCTGTCGGAACCTGTGATCCTAAGCCCTTCACACACTACAAACCTGTCCTGGGGTCGCTAAATAAATGTTTTTGGTGTGGCTCCTGTAAAGCATGGCTGAAGGAAACCCTTGCCTTCACTGTGTGTGTGGTTGCGCACAGGGGTTGAGGGTGGTGCCAAGGGGAGCAGTGCTGCTCTGATAACCCGTGCTCATGGTGAAAGCTGAACACCAGATGGCTTTGCCCTTCCCGTCTGACTCCTGTTCTCCCTTTTTGCAGGTTACTTTGCATGACATGATCCTTAAAAACATTGAGAAGATCAAGAGGCCTCGGAGCAGCAATGCTGAGACCCTCTATTAAGTGTCAACGTTTGAACTTGAGAACTGTTCAGTCAACTAAAGACCGTCATTGCCTTGGTTTGTTACGTGACTATCGAGATGGGAAACTGGCTGGAAATAGTATTGCATTCTTAGCTAAACTCTAAAGAAATTCTCACCTAGTTCTGTGATTGGTTTTGTTCAGGTCTCAGGAGCTCTCCTTCCCTCTGGTCACTGGGCCGTGCTGTGTTGGGTGCCCTAGAGGCTGCTGCAGCCAGGCAGGGACATTCCTTCATGCCTTGCTTCCTACCTGAGTAGGAACACTAGAGACCAAGTCCTTGTCCTGTCCCATCTCTTGGCTGGCAGCTGCCCAGGGGTCTCTGGGCTCGGGGCAGACAGCTCAGCATGAGGGTGAGCCCAGCAGCATGACAGAGGGGAGGAGAGCTCACTTCCCACTGCCACCTGTGGCTAGGCCCCTGTGCTGCCAGTTCTGCACTGCCCAGGGACCTGCCCCACCGGGCCGGTGGCAGCACCCATGCCCTTGTGCCACTGAGCCATCTGCACTCCCTTTCTGGCTCTCCCCTGGCTTGGCAGAGCATGCTTCATGGGGCTCTGCCTCGTCAGCTCTGTCTGTATCGGGGCAGAGCGTGAAGCAGTGCTTGGACCTAGGGCTGGTGCTGTCCTGGCTGTCGTGAGCTCAGGTGGCTTCTGATCCTCTGCCATTTGACTAGAGCCACTTTCTTGGCTAAAACCAACGTTCCTTCATGTAAGTCCTAGTGCCCGTTCAGCATGAGATGCTTTTGCCCGGGCTGAGGGGAGGGAGCAGCCGGAGGTCTGAAGCTGAAGTCCCAATATCTCCACACGTGGTCAGACTGAGCCCTGCTGTCCCTGGCAGTGTTCCGTGGTGCCTGGGCAGGGCAGGCTAGCTGCCACAGCTGGTGCTCAAGGGTGAGGGTGGCCCATGCCCACCTGGTACCCTGCAGACCTTGCAGTCCTTCCCCTGCAAAGGGCACACTCCTGTGCCTGGTGACTCCTCTAAGCCGCCAGAACGTTTCATGGTCCATTACAAACCCCTTTGGAAATGACCGGTTGTGTTGCGTCAGTTGTTGTGTGTGGCAAGTGGGCCCGTAACACTGCAGGCTTCAAAATTTTCTTATTTATAGTATTTCTACTTAAGTCCCCTAATCAGGGAACATTGAATCATGTTTCAGGAACCTCGCTGTTTCCCAGGTCTCGCTGTTACACCTGTATATTCTTATTGTGCAGTAGCCTTAAGAATTGTGTTAATTTCATTGTAACAACAGTGACAAATGGAATGACTTTTCTCCTCTTTTTTTTTTTTTTTTTTTTTTTTTTTTTTTGTACTTTATTTTGGGGTTTTTTTTCTGCTTCCACATCTAAGAGCCATGTTGTCTCTTGCTGGTTTCCCAGGGATTTGCCCAGAGTGTGGAGGGCCACAGGCCCTTGCTATAGACTCTTCTGTTGTTGTTTGTAGTAAGTCAACTCTTAGTCTTCCCGCTAATAAATATTCAGTAACAAACCAACTGCGTTGAGCTGCTGTCTGGGAGCAGCACTTCCCCTTGTGTTTCTTTGTATTGATTCCTTTTAGTTTGTTTAGCTCTCTTTGCCAGATGAACGTATGTAAACTTTTACCATGTCAAGAAATTAAAATAAGGTACTTGGAATTCTTTCCAGGCAGCCCCTTGTGTGTGGTACTGGGCTCTCAGGCCGTGCAGTCTCAATGTCCTGTTTGATCTTGCTTTTCTTGCATCCAGTTGCTCCTTCCCTGCATCCTCCTCATTCCTCTCTCTGACTGTGTTGTAGACTGCTCTGCTTTGCTGTGTAGGTTGTTTCTCTTCCTTCAGCATGCCTCACGCAGGCTTGGGTTTCATGGGCTCTGTCCTATCTCAACCCTTTGTGGGACATGGCACATCCTGGTTCACAGATGTGAGGACCTTACCTGGTGTTTCTCTGAGCCTGCAACTGCTCTGGGGCTGCTCTGCCAGACAGGTATCTGCCAGGCAGGTGTCTCTCAGCTGTCCTGGGGCACCTGGATGTGGCACGCTGCTACGCATGTGTGATACTGAAGGGGAGGCATCCACCCCAGCATCCCCAGGCCCAGCATCCCCTGCTCTCTCCAGACGAGTTCTCGTACCTCCTCCGTGCCTGCTGCACTGCAGCTGGGGCATAGAGACCTCTCAAGGGACACTTGGGAGTTCCCTGAGTGTCCCGTTCCCCAGCTGCAGCCCCTCTGAGCTGTCCCCTGAGCCATGGTTTGGTGCCTGCCTCGGGCTTTGCCTGTACCAGTTGCTGTGCCACTAGGCAGGGCCCATGACCGGCCCTGTGAGTTGCCACTGCAGACCAGGCTCCTGTCCAGAAACTATTGCAGACCCGGAGCCTGCAGAGGAAGGTTCCTGCCTGCTGCAGGGCTCCTGCAGTGTGGGAAAGTGCTGCAGCTGCCTGATGTGTGCAGGGAGGGGGCATTGAGCTGGAAACAGGTCTCTGGGCTCTGGTGCCCAAAGGAAGGGCTTGCTGGCAGGACTTGCGGTGCAGCACAAGGGGCTCCTGCTCATCACAACCAAAGAAACAGTTCCCGGGGGAACTGGTGCCAGCAGTCCCATGGGAGGATGGAGCATCCAGGAATGTTGTCTTGGCAGGTGCTGGCAGGGAGCAGTTGGCAGGGTGTGTTGTCGGTGATCTCTGTGTCCAGGAGCAGTGGCACTGCGTGTTCAGGGCTCTGCTTCTCCGGTCCCTGAGACATCTCAGCTTATGAGCAGGGCAGGAGAATAAGGGCTCAGCAGTTGAGCAGCTGCAGGCGCTGATGGCAGCACAGCTGGCTTGGGGAAGGGCCAGGCAGATCCCTCTGTTTTGCACCAGCTTGACCCTATAAGACATGGGGAGTGGGTGCTCCCCAGAGCCTGAGCCTTGGCATGGGGTTTGCTCAAGGCTTGCCAGCATTAGGAGCACTGCAGGGGTTTTCCATACTGTGCCTGTCCCCAGTGGTCACTGACTCCCAAGTTTCTCTGAGCCCAGGGCTGCCTGTCTCTGGTTTGGGTTTCTATAAATTTCAGGTGCTATTTTTTGCCACCTCTGCCTTTCTGCGTGAGTGAAACCCAACAAACTCCCTTCTCCCTGGCTTTGTTTGAGGAACGTGGGCAATTTAGCAAACATAATCTGTACTGATGGGCAGTGCCTAAAAGCAGCTGTGCAGTCAAAATAAAACACGGGTAGGATGTGAGTTCTCCATGTGGGGTGTGGGGCAGTGAGGGGCTGATCAGGCTGGGGAGCTGGTATGTGGGAGGTGGTACGTGCACTGAGCACATCACAAACAAGTTGCTTTGCTGTTAGGGAGACATGCAATTTTTTTAATTCTAGGTTAGCTTTAAGCTGCTTCAGGCTCCTTTTGGAGAAGGTACATGAGCAATTTCATGGTGTGTGGGGCCCCTCAAGATGCCTGATTGCTTTTCATCATCAGTTATTGACACAGGTTTCCTGGCTCTGCAGGCTCAGTTAATTACTCTGCTTCCTGAAATTGCTACTGCAAGATGGAGGTGGATTTAGGCCTGTTTTGTTTATACTGAAGCAGAGCTCTAAATCAGAGCTTGAGAAGTCCAGCAGAAACAGATGGTACTGAAACCCTGTTATCAGACACACCCTCCATGGCACAGGCTCTGCAGTGGGGCAGAGGCAGTGCACAAAGCTGCCATCCACGTCCTGCAGCCCTGGGGTGTGTGCTGAGGTTGGTTTGTCGTGAGGATGTCAGTACAGATTAGGGTTTCTCTTTCTTTCCAAACCCCCGACATGCACAGAACCAGGAGTGTTCCCACACTCTATTTTCGGATCTCTTCCAGCCCAGCTGCAGGGTTGAGTTGTGATTTGTGGGGCAGGAAGGCCTGTGGAGTTTATCCTGTTCCCTTAAACTACTGCTGTGCTGCTTGGAAAAGGCCCTTCTGTAATTGCAGCCTGTGCCGTGGCTTTCAGGGACTCAGGAGGCAAAATCAAGAGGCGAAGTCAAACCTGAATGATCTACTCTTTGTGTGTTTCTTTAAGGACACATCCATGTGAGGCTTGTCATGCAGCTGTGGAGGTTCTGCTGTAGTCTCAGCTCGGCTGTGCCAGTGTGTGTGGCAGCAGAGCACTTGTTCCATTCCTGGGAGGCAGGAGGTATGTCCTGGCTCTGCTCCAAACCCCAGCTGGGGTAACAGTGCTTCTGCTCTGCTCTGAGTGAAACAGGCTCCATGTTCCAGCCCCATGCTGAAAGGGTATTTTCCTTTCAAGTGTAACCCCAGGTAATCCTTGGAGCCTCCCTGACTTCATGGACTGAAGGACTGACTCAGAAGTCAGCACTGCTTTGCCTAATTTGGGGCTACTCAGAGGCATCCGATTCTGCTGCTGTGAGCTGATGAGAGCAGGTACCTCTGAAACCTGTGGCTGCTCTGTCCCATGCAGCCAAGGCTCTGTTCTCCTCTGTCCTGTCTCTCCCCACTGCTTGTATCCATGCTACAAAGCCCCTTTGCTGGCACCACGACTACGTGAAGCAAGTGCTGTGGCTCTGAGGCTCTCCTGGCACAGCAGCCGGCAAGGCAGAGCCATGTGTGCTGGCATGGAAGGAGGAACGAGTGTGTCCCTGGGCTAGAGAAGGCTGAGGCTGCCCGTGGTGGTGAAGATAATGGAGCATGTCCTATGGCAACGTGGCCTTCTGCCTCCCAGCATGATGTCTGGTGAGCACGGCTGGAGGACCGCAGAAAGACTGAACCCCAGGCAGGATGCACAACAGAGGAAGAACCGCAGGCTGGGGAGGGCTGTCTTCCACCAGGAAACTGTGACGGGAGGAGGAAGAGAACATGAGGGTGAGTTGAGGTGAGGCTGGCAGCAGGAGTGGAAATGTTGGATTGAATCCCCAGCCCTGGTTCTCTTGGATGCCTTGTCTTCCTCAGCACCAGGTCAGGAACTGTAGCCAAGGTGGTGCGTCTTGTCTACCCTGAGCATCTGCTGCGTGGCAGGACTGAGCACCAAGTCCACCAAGTTTTGCCAAGGCCTTTGGGCAGTGCTGCAAGGCCAGCAGTGGGTGGCAGAGGGCAGCTGTGGCTGCTAGGCCTGGGGCCTGTGGTCTGGCAACACCAATAGCAGGCACTGCCCTCTGTTGCTGCTGAATGCCTGTTCAGGGTGGTTTTGTCCTT